TGATGGGGAGAGAATGGTGGGGTGTGATATATGTGAAGTCAGGCAGCATACGCTTTGTGTTCGAATACCAAACAATGAACAAGTGCCTCATATATTTCTCTGCAATCGATGTGAACGAGAAATCATACTTTTGCCTTCTCCATAGCTCTGCAGCAGTAGCAAGTAGCAACCAATATTACTTTTATTTATTATGATCCATCCCTTTAATTTCTGGTGTCATTAATTTATGTCATTTTAATTTTGGGAAGATGTTATGTAATCTGTCAAGAACAACATCAGATCAGTCAAGTAATTTCGCAAGTATACGTTAGTTGCAGCATCATTCATGCTTGAGCTTTTACCATTTATTTATTTATTTTCATGATTTCATGGCCCAAATCCAATATATCATCTTTTATCTATTCTGGGCCTTCGGATTTAACGTTGAGCTGCTCGAAGACACCCACACTACTGGGCCTTTACATAACAACTATACTAATTTTCTTTTGGGCCGATTGCGATTATACACAAAATGAATTGATTTATGAGAGGACAACACACCAAAAACGACCATCTCATTAAACTGAAATGAAAAACTTATCTCAAGCGTGATTGTTCGTAAAGGATCCTTTAGTGTAGTGGTTTGAAGCAATTACTCCTCTAGTCCTAGCATACATATAGTGTGTGTGAATTTAGTATATTATCGTCCCTCTCAATAAGAAAGGTGTTTAAAAAAAACTAATTAAAGCTTATTTTAACTGGGTACTTAGGGCAATTTATTAAATTTCATTTCTATATCGACAAAGAAAAAGGAAAGAGAAGTGTTAGACCCCATTACAATTTGTAACGAAGGTTTTTGGAACAAGTGTTATCGATATATATTAATTAAACATCCAACCATTTCGTTTAATTAGGGCTAAATAAAACGAGAAACTTGATGAGCACCCAATTTATGCTTGTGGTTGGTTGTTGGAGTGTTGCACGCCTAAAAAGAGAAACATTTCCTTCAACTGCAAGGATCAATTTTTTTTTTCCCCTATCATCTTTCAAACGGCAACAACTTTTTATTGACTTGTATCCCCTAACAAAAATAAAAATAAAAACAAAGGAAAGGTCTACACCACCAAATTTATTTTTAACATTAATTTTTTTGGGGTAAGATCATGATATGAACGTTTTCCTTGTGAATATAAGGAGAGAGTAGAGAGGCGGGTAGAAAGATTCAAATAAATGCACTATTTACTGCACTATGATAATTGCTATATTTGACGTTTGACCACCATGATCATTCCAACTGAAAACCTTCTTTTTAAAGCAGATATGTAAGTATAGAAATCAAACAAAGTTTGAAGTTGGAATCAAAGATCAAAGAAAGCATCCCCTGATCCACAGTGTATTGTTGGAACCCAAATCATTGCTTCATTTTCCCTGTAGAGACTAGAGAGAGAAAGAGAAACGAAAGTGGTGCGGTGTAAAAAGTAAATGGTTAAATGTTGAAGCGGTTAAAACTTAAACTGGATGAGTTTCTGTTCATGGGTATATTTGTCCCTGCGTACTAGTTTGGGTTAAGCTTCCAAGACCGCTTCACTTTCTGGAAATTACTCAGTCCGTAGTCATTTTCTTTATTTTTCTAATTATTATTGTACATTTCCTTTTGGCTAACTTTTCTTCCCCTCCCCGTATGAATCTGTTTTTATTATTACGTAGGGCAGGTAACTTGTCAGACTCTGACATTACCCACTACATCTCTCTCTCTCTCTCTGTATCTCGTTGCATTGCATATACTGTACACAGAACACAAAAATACAGATTTATCCGAAAAATAAAAAATGAAAGTTCCATGAAGGTGGAGAAAACAAACAAACAAATGTTCTCTTCTGTATGGTCTATGCCTTGAGTGCGAAGAAATGATGGATATGCATGGGCATGTTAATCATAGCTAACACTGTGGGTTCTAAAATGTTCGATTTGAAACTAAATACTTTTTATTTTGTCTCCTTTTTGGTTTTCAGTGTGACAGTAAAGAATGGAATAGATGCCAACTTTGGTTCACTTCTCGGGATACCAACACAGCTGAACCAGACAAACGCCTCACTCAGCGCAATAACACAAAGGTTTTTTGGCCCCTACCCATCGTCAATTTCAAATTATTGAAGCACCTCCCTCGTATACTTACTCAAATATTTTTGTTGGATTAATGTTTGTAGTACATTGCTTAATTTGAAGTTGCAAGTGAATTAAATACACAATTCCTGACCAAATCTCATTAAGAGCGAATGAATTTACAAATTACAAATTCATTTCTTGAAAGAGACATGGAAGCAGAACTCCGCCTTATATATGTTAATTAAATTAATTAATGGATCTCAAAAAAGTAAAGTTAAAGCTATATATACATAATTAATTGGACTTTAGGGCTAAGTCAACATAATTTTTTAAAGCTTGGGTTGCCACGTGAGAGAAGGGATTAGTTTTAAGAAAAGGTGATTAGATTTGGAATCCAGAACACTTGGGAGGGAGGGATGATTGCTTTTTTTGATGCAGCAATGCATGCCAGCATGTGATAAGAATCCTTCTCCCATCATCCTACCATTCTTTCCAACTCAACAAGTATAATAAAGTAGGGCAAGCATCTTCTCCTTTTTTCTAATTATTCATTCTTAAAAACCCTACCCTTCATCACCTCCATCCATCATATTCATATTCATATACATATATATAAGAGATTTTCTATTTAAACCTCGTACTTCTCTTTGTTCACCTCAATACTTAAATTATTAAGCTGTAAGTTTTATTATTGTGTAAAAAGACAAAAAAGGTCATCCAACTTAATAATTAACCATAGTACATCTATACAGACACCCCACCACTCATCATATTAAGTTTTAGAAAAATACAAACTTCTCTACATCCTATTGCCATATTACTCTTCTCTTTTAAAGACGTAGAACATTGACGAGCTTACCTCTTTAAATATGTGTGGGAGTTGATGGAAGGGCTTATTGATTGTCAACTCAATAATACCCAAGTGTTAGAATTCCAGTTACAGTTCTTGGAGAGAGGTAAAGCTGTTCTCTTTCTCTAGAAAGTATTAAATTTCGGGTTTGGGGTTCCATTTGTCTGTGTTTTTTTTTTCTGTTGGGAACAAAGAAAATTGTGGTGTTTAAATAGAAAATCTCTTTTATTTCTTATTTTTTTCAATTTGGGGTGTATTTAAGGGTAGTTTAGAAAGATAGTGGGGTTTGCTTAGAAATTGTGAAAATTTAAATTAAAAGATGGGGTGAACTAAGAGAAGTATGGAGTTTATCTCTGTGAACACATTAATTATATTTTGACATGTGTGTTCTGAACATTTGTCAAAAAGTAATATCTTTTTTTTTTATAAAAAAGATTCACATTGTTGTATGTTTTCACTTTTGTTGTTGTTCTTGTGTATTTACTGTTCTTGGGATAGAAACCAAACAAGCCCTTAATTCTTGAGTAACTTTTTGGTATGAGAAGATGCTCTAACTATGGAGAATGAAATCTCAGTTTCTGGCTAGGCAATCATACATTAAGGAGAAAGTTCAACTCTCATTTGCTAGATTTGTAAACCAAGGATAATATATATATATATATATATATATATATATAAAGCTAATTTAATTATAAATATATGTCGCACATGTGTTTTGGTGTCATAAAGATGTAGGGTGATGATGATGATATACATTCAACTTCCATCAATTATTAATTTGATATCAGAGTTATCCCTAAAATAATGGACAATTCTTTGTATTCTATAAAGTTGAAATTCGACCTCTCTCTTGACCGGTAAGAGCTAAT